TAAGCAACGCTCCTGTAATGCCTTACTGCTGGCGCTGCTGCCCTTTGTGGTTTGTAACCCACAGCCTGCACTATCACGTACTGTTCATAAACATCAAACTAGCAGATCACACTGTGCCTAAAGTTACAACAACTCTTTCACTGTTTTGAAGATAATTTGTCAGACTACTTGCTTGGCCTCCTCAAGCTCTCAGTATAATCCCTTGGTTCAAAATTAAAAAAAAAATAAGTATAAACAACGAACCACATTTTTATTCCCTCGTGATTTTATTTTATGACAACAAGATCAACATTTGCAGAGGGGTCATCGATCATTTCTGCCAATAAGTGCCACTGTGATATTCTTCAGTGTAGTCCCCATTAATGTTTAGTCAGATTCACTTTCGTATTCATCAGCATATACTTTGTCTTCTATAGCTCTTTTTGCTTTCGTAAGTCCACCAATAAGAATTGAACCGAGGAAAAGACCAAAGCGAATAATAATCATTAGTAGTGTGTTGTTTGTAGTGAAAATTATATTGGCTTGAATACCTTCTTCTTTGGCAGATGGAAAGCCACTATCCACACTGCCACCTGTTCCTCTCTCTGTACAATTTGGAGGCTTATAACCACGCATACAGTGGCAATGTTTTCTATTATTACACACTCCTCTGTAATTGCATGTCTTCACATCACAGTCAAAACCCATGTCTTGATGAAAAGTACAATTCTGGCGACGACAGAATCTTCCTGGGCCACAGGTTGCACCATCTACTACAAGTGCTATTTCTGGTAGCTCTGGCCCATGGTGTACGTCATAACCAAAGCAGTGTATCTGTTTAGCGTCTTGTACTATTATATCATGAAATGTAGTGTGTTCACCTCCCCCTGGAACTGCCTCAGGACTGTTACAGTGCAATATTCCACAAAGAACATCATCAGCTTCACATTTAGTAGGCCTGCTTCCTGGTCTCTGTATTCTAAGTCCACAGTTTCCGAATCGGTCACCTATTATGTTCAGTTTGTCATAGCAGGCTTTTGGGGCATCTGTTACTTTGAATCCAAACAGAGCTTGACACTGCAAATCCCGGTCACTGCAATTTCCTCTCATACAAACAGCTAGTGGTGAACATGGGGTTCCATCTTGAATGTAGAAGTCTTCGGGGCATCTTTCCCCTTTCCCATCACAGTATTCTGGCAGATCACAAATACCAAGCTGGTCTCTGCATACAGTTCCAGGAGGAGCGAGTTTACACCGAATGCAGCAAGGCTCTCCATTACACAAACTTCCAAGAGTGAAAAGACAGTTGGTTCCACAACACTTATTCGTGGAACATTCTTTAAGAGACCCACAGTCACATTCCTCTTTGTTATTTCTTATCCTGTCTCCACAGCGAGGAGCTACATAAGGAAAATTATTGTATGGAGGATAAACCCAACTAAAGCAAGGATCCCAACTATGAATCCTATTGTGTAGTACTGCAAAAGAACAATTGCTGGCTGCATCGTAAAGACCAGGCACAGAATTCATAAGACAATGGGTTCTTCGAAAACAGACACAACCGGCGGAGTCATGTACCATTGCCATGTTGTGACCTAGTGTATGTGCTAATACTGTTGAACCGAGAAATATGTGATACCTTGACACAAACACATATAATGCTCCCCAATTGGGGTTGCATATACCATTATGGTTAGCATAATAAATGGAGTTTCCTATTTTATGCCCTGTAAGAAGCACTGAAGTAGCATGAGGAATCTGCCAATACCATCCATGTTGTTTCCATAAACCAAACCGATCTACCACTACTGAAGGATGCCCTTTGTATACGTTAACTTGGTCTGACCCTTCCCATATGCACAGAACTCGTATGAACATATTTAAGCCCATTGGTCTATAAATGCTGTGTGTTATGCTGTTTATAATAAATACATTCTCTATAATACGAGATTTATTTTTCTGCTGAGTCCAGAGTGAGTTAGTTACTGTGTAGTGAAGATGCGCCTGTTTTATATGTACCCGCCACAAATAGACAGGGGCTGCCCTTGGACTTTCAGCGAGTTTTACATCTTCAAGTATTTGATTTGCATTGTCCTCTGGAATATCACACCTTTCATCTTCCTCTGATATATATTGTGATACAAGCCGAGAAACTACATGCTCAAATTTGGAAGAAGCCTCTAGTGGTTTGATTTCATAAGTAAAGTCATCCACCTGCAGCATGCC